ACACACACCCACACACACACACACACACACACACACACACACACACACACACACACACACACACACACATACAAAATTGTGTACATACGATTTCTTGTGATGCGCGAACAACTCTGTCAGGGTTCGCCCGGACTCGGCTGCCTTTGGTGACCCGAGGGTTTCTCTTCTGCCTCCTGACGACAAGCAAATCTGCTGATGTCCAACGGATTAGACGCCGGACGCATTTGGGCAGTCTGAGCAAAAGCGGGTCGTCTAGAGCAACAAACTGCTTGCAAAGACTCAAATTCTTATTTTTAAGAAATAATTCAAATTAAAAGTAACTACAAAAATCCTACTAGTCTGATGAAATTTTGAAGTTTTTTGATATCCTATTTACTTTGATGCTAAATATTAATTTTTAAAATTTATTCCATCTAGTAATGTTTGAAGCGATAATTTTTTAAATCTATTGATGCTACTCAAAGATACAAATTTGACTTTAGGCATTGGTGAATTTCGTTATTCTTTCCTTAAATCTTCTTTTATTTTATTTCTAAATGAACTGAATTCGTTTTTGCATTTTGGACATGCTGTCAGGGCACTTTGTCCGAGGTCCTCTGATATATGAGTCATCCTATTTCCCCGTGTCGGTAGATCCCCAATCGTTTCGCTCTCCTGGCCGTTGGAATCATCATTGAGTCTTGCCAGTCTTAGCAACAAGCTACAACTCGACAAAAAAGAGACAAGTCAAGTCAATCTCTTTTGAGGTCTGTTCCTCCTATTTCGTCTGAGATGATGAGGGAATGGTAGAAGTCTTTTTCCCAAACTCATTTCAGCAGACCCAATGTTTCCACTGAATTGCTTCCAATTGGTATTCTCACCCAAGCTGGGGCTGACTGCTGTCTCGACCTCGCCTGAGCTGGCCTTAGCAACACTCTCAGTGGTACTCGAGTCATGTCTCGACACGTAAACCATTACGTCACATTGCCACGAGTGCTGTTGGATCACAGGTCATTTTGCAATTTCACAATCTGTGGTCAGATTGTAGATGAAATAAGGTTGTATTTGCCAGAGCAATCGACTGCGTTACTTATTTTCCGTTTATAAGTAGGGTTTCAGGACAGTTGGTCTAGCTCTGTCATTTTAAACAAAATAGGATGGATACATCTCGTACATGTACCCGTAGTTTGGAAAGTCTACTTATAAACGAAAAATATA